CAAAAAGGGCTACCATGTTGTTTTATTGTTGGATGAATTACCTCCTAATGGTTCTCTTTATAGTATTGATAAATTTGGGGTAAAAAGAAAAATTGGGGATGTGTTAAGTAGCGGACGACAAGCCCAAGATTTGGGCAGCCCAGAAAAAATTCAACCAACTCAAAAAGGTAAATGATTTTGACAAGCCAAAAACATCCAAGAAGTTAGCGAAGCATGAAAAAAATATTTTTTTTTAGTAGAATGTAAAGAAAAAATAAACAAAAAAATAAAGTCTGATATAAAATCTATGGAAGTAAAAACAACTGTATTAAAAAGCCCAAAAAAAAGCAAGAACGAACAAACAATTATCAAACTAGCCCAAATAATTAAAAGAGAGTTATTTCGGCAAAAAGTAAAAAGAGATAAGCCTATTTATAAGGTTTGATTTCAGCAAAAAGGCAAACCTAAAAGATATTTTTTATTGGATACTTACCAAAAGCACCGCGAAAGAATTATTTATGATTTAGAAATAGGAAGTGTAGCCAGTTTTGTTTTGAATCAAGGTGATTATTATCAATTTTATTTAAGGGGCGGTTAGTTATTTTGTAAATGGTAAAGGTAAGTAGAATTATATTCATATATTCCTAGGTTTATAGGTTTAAAATATAGTATATGAATGAATTAATAATAATTCGCACTGAAAACAGCAAAGAACTAAAAGCTTTTCTCCAAAAGAAGCGTATCGATTACGAGACTTATCCTTATGATGCCAAGCAAACTCATCGGGAAAAGTGGTTAAAAGATATTGATTTAGCAAATAAAGACGAAAAACGTAATAAAGAGATTGCCGAATGAGACGAAATTCAAGAGGAAGATGATGCCGAAGAATTAGCAAAAGAGAATGAATGAAATTTTAGTTAAAAGAGGAGAAATTTGGTTAGTAAGATTTAAAAAAAAGAAAAGTCTTGGCACCGAAATTTGGAAAGACCGTCCTGCTCTAATCATTTCGGCTGATTGGCAAAATGCCAAAAGTAAAAGAGCAGTAGTTATTCCTTTGTCTCGGACGATTGACCCGATGTATGAGTGAGAAATACCAATTAGGTTGAATAATCAAGACGGAAAAATTATGACTGACCAGGTTCATAGTTTTGACAAGAAAAAAAGATTAGTTAGGAAATTAGGAATTTTGCCAGAGGAAACATTAAAGAAAGTGGAAGAAACTTTGCAAGAATTATTAGAGTTAGGAAAATAATATGACAATTATTGCCTTTATCTCCCAAAAAGGCGGAGTAGGAAAAACCACTCTTGCCCGAGCGGTAGCCGTAGAAACTACCAAAAAGAAAATCAAGACTTTACTAGCGGATTGCGACCCTCAACAATTAACTAGTTATGAATGAAGCAAAACTAATAAAAAAATTAATTGTCAAGTATTTAATTCCGTTAAGGAAATTTGACCGCTGGCTCACGAGTATGATTTAATTGTTGTTGATGCTCCCGCTCGCACTAGTCAGGGGACATTGGAAATAGCGAAAAACGCTGATTTAGTTATTCAACCAGTCGGAGCGAGCAATGATGATTTAATGCCGGCGGTGAAAGAATTTAATGCTTTAAAAAAGGCGGGAATAAACAAAAATAAACTTTTATTTGTTCTAACTCGCTTATCTACTCCCAAAGAAGCCGAAGCAATAAAAGAATACTTAAAAGATACTGCTTATTCGTTTACTAATAATTATCTCTCCGAAAAAACTAGTTATAAACAAACCCAAAACGAGGGTAGAAGTATCACCGAAGTTAGTTATAAAAGTTTAAGGCAACAAGCCCAGAAAATAATCACTGAATTATTAAACCACCTATAAAAATATGTATATAATCCTAGGTATATATGAATAATTGAAAAGACAAAATTAAAAGGAAAGGGCTAGGTATTGCTCCGCAAGAGGCTAGTGAAAATATTCAAGCTTCCGAGTTAGCTCCACGAGATAAAAGGTTTACGGGACGCACTAAACAGTTAGGGTTAAGTGTGAAACCAGAATTCTCTAAGCGGTTAAAAATGATAGCTGCCGAAGAGGATTGTTTTGTGATAGAAGTATTAGAAAAAGCGTTAGAGTGTTATGAGAAACACCGAAATAATTAACAAAAAAAAAGTAGCAAAAAAAAATCCCGTTTCTCGCCCCCTTTTTTGGTCGCTTTCCTCCGACTTCGTCTCCGGTTCGCTCCCTCCTTTTCGCCTTTTAGGCTCGTTTTTCCCCCCATTTTTCGCCCCAAGTCGCCCAATTTGCCCGT